AGGTGCCCTAGATTCATTCTCTAGTACTGCACAAAACAGACACACACACACATACATTCTTAAGAATTCCTTGGAATCTAAATGTCTAGAGCCTAAATTTAATACTATCCCTACCTACTGCCATTTTTCCCTTGAAGTACTAATCCAGGTTGGCTGAGGTCTAATCAGAGTGATGATAAATGTAATAGCAGTCAAGAAGAAAAACACAAATACCTACTTTGTACCAAATACTTTGATGTTAGCTCCCATATTTGCTTTACATTACCTGCAGTAAGATTTGAATCAGAATTGGCAGCCTAATCTAGGCCTTAAGACTGACAAACTAGTCTTCACAAGAAGCCTTCAACAATTCAGTCTATGTTCATCAAGGAATCTACAAAAAGAAATATTTACTAACAACAAAAAACTCAAATTTTAGCCAGGTGTGGTGGCACACAGCAGTAATACCAAAAGTCAGGAGGCTGAAGCAGGAGGATCACTGAGTCCAAGGCCAGTCTGGACAACATAGTGAGCCCCTGTCTCAAAGAAACCCCCAACCCCCCCCCAAAACCCACAAAACAAAAAAGCACCAAAAACCACTCAAATTTTAAAACATCTCAAATTTACTATAATTTGCTTTTAATAAACTTATTAGTTTGTACCTATAAATCTAAGAAAAATATAAAGAATAATCTCATTCATGTATCTATAAATACCTTTTTTTGGTACCAGGGATCAAATTCACGACCTTGCGCTTGCGAGGCAGACACAGTACCACCGAGCTAAATCCCCGGCTAAATACATCTTAAATAAAATTTTTTTTAGTTTCTTTTGAAACTCCTCTACCTAATAAAACACAGAAAGTCTGCAGTATATCATTCCTCACAGATTAATTGTTCTTAACTCTGGTGAGTGGGAAATAAAGATGCAACAGAATACCTATTTATCTTGATCTGATTCTACAAGATGTTTTGTTTTAACATAGTTCATTTCAAAGACTGAGAACTCATCTAGTCTGGTAATATATGAGATGTGTAGTTTATAATGAAAATAACTTTTGACCTGGCATGGCAATGTGAGTCTGTAATCCAGGCACTCAGGAGGCTGAGGTGGGAGGATTACATGCTCGAGAAGAGTTTGAGATTAGCGTGGGTAACACACTAAGATCCTAACTCAAAAATTTAAATAAATAAAAGTAGCTTTTTATTTTTGGTTCTGGGGATCGAACTCGGGACCTTGCGCTTGTGAGGCAGGTGGCAGAACCACTGAGCTAAATCCCTGGCCCAGAAGTAGCTTTTTAACACCTCCATGTAAAACTGACAAACACTGAAAATACTCTAAGAATTCCAGAGGCAGGTTCCTTGATCCCATGTAGTATACTTCCCTCACCTTTGGTAAATGACAGCTTGTTCAAGCTACACTGCTGCACTCAGAGGTTTCAAGATGGTCATGCACAGGTTTGCCCAATAAGCAGTTTGCTTTCAACTGACTGTAGTAGGAGAAAAATTAAATTAGTTCATTAAGGGAACTATGGTACTACTCAATCAGTATCACAGGACTAGGATGACTAGTACTTAAAGCCTACTTAAAGTATAAAAGTGACTTTGAGAAAGTGTCCTCAAAGTAAAAATCATACTGGAGATAAAGGTCATCTAATACAATCATAAACTTTGTAACTCTTAGCAATTTATACTCTCTACTAAGTCTCCCAGCGTACAGTTGAAGATAGCCAGTACTTTACTGCCTACTTCTCAAGGCAACTAATTTCTCGTATTTTTTGTTTTGTTTTGAGACAGGCTCTCCCTATAGTTCAACCTAGCATTGCACTCACTATTTGGCCCAGGATAACCTCAAACATGTGGTGATTCTCCTGTTTTATCCTCCCAAGTGCGGGGATTATGGGCATGAACCACCACAGATGACACCATTCTCTATCTTTAAGAGACTGAACTGTTAGAAACTCAAATTATCCTAACACCACTGTGTTGTACAAACCTTCTAGATACAGCTTTTACAATATGAGAGGTAAAAGCTAGGTGTGGTGGCACACAGCTATAATCCCAGCAGGGGGATTCCAAGGTTATGCCTAGCCTGGGCAATTTAGTGACTTAATGAGACCCTGTCTCAAAATGAAAAAAGGGTTTAGGTCAATGAAAAGGTCCTGTTCAATCCTGAGTACAGAGAGAAAGAGAGCGTGAGCTCTGAACCAAGTCTTTCAAGCTCAATATTTACTTCTTTCAATTACTCTTCATTATGGTTTTATACTTAGACTTTGAGTTCACCCTAAACATTCACCAGGTCTTTCTGGTATCGTTTTTCAAGTGTGGGAGTTAGAGGACCATAATTCAAGCAGCAATTCAGGGGCTCCATCCCCGGCCCCCGCCCCACCCCACCCCCGTACCAGGAATTAAACTCAGCACCTTGCGCTTGCCAGGCAGGCGTGGTGCCACTGAGCTACATCCCGGGCCCGCAAATAGCCAATTCAGTACAACCACAAAAATCACCTGTTTGGCAACTGCATTCTATTTACGCATTTGAAGCTTATTGTGCATAAAAAATGTTTACTGCACCTGTGTACAGTGCTGTGGGCCTGTAAACCCAGCTACTTGGGAAGCAGAGACAGGAGCACTGGAGTGCTTTGGAATCAACCTGGGAAACACAGCAAGACTATTTCTTTAAAAAAAAAAAAAAAGTTTTAAAATCTGTTTATTACTGCTGTGAGCCACATACTCTTCCAGGTCTCTTCAATGTATCCTCCATCAAAAGAAGAACTTGTTTGATGTCTTACTGAAATCAAGAGGTATTTTACTATGTTCTTAAATTTGTTTTTCTAATGACCATGAAGAATGAAACTTTAAAAGGAGTTATTACATCCATTTCAAGTCATAATGATTCTTTCTAGGTTCTTACACCACCAGCCTTTTACTACCCCAGACCTTTATCCAAAAGCATGACTATTTTCTATGTCTTACACTATGTTTTATAGTTCTTTTCTCTTTTTAAAGATATGACTGAAATTCACCTGACATTAAGCTTATGTTAGCTAAACTTTCTTTGAGAAAAAGTTATCATGTTAAAATTGTTAACACTGAAACATTTATTTTTTGCAATAAAAATCTTTATTTCATATAAAATTAATATTTTAATTAGGATAAAGGAAACTTTTTATCTTGAATCCATTATTTCACATGATTTATATCACAGATAATTACTATGAATATGATATGAGTTCCTGTCATGAGTATTATGCCTACGTGCTTGTGGGAAGCTTCTGCAGCCTTTTTCTTGCTAGGAATTCCAGTTCTTCTGAATTCTTCCCTTTCCTTCAGGTATTTCATTTTGCATTCTTCATAAAAGGCTGGATCATTATAGTGAGCAGTTAGACATTCTTTCAATGCAGAATTTTCTTTCCGGCATTTTACTACCATCAGAATTCCAGAATCTTTGCACACTTAGTAAAATCTTGAACTTGTTCAGAACACCTGTCTCTGGCCTTTTCTCTCATTATTTTAGGGATTAAAACATCTTTTTCAACATGTCTAAAATGCTGATCTGCAGGGTCAAATGCCATCTTGGCTGGCAGAGAAGGCAGCTGCGGTGCGGCCTCGAAACATTTATTTTCATCATTTAAAATTATTTAGAGCAGATAATTTTAGTCTTTTTATGGATGTTGGACTTATGCTCTTTTACTATAATTCTTTCTTATCAAGGCAAATTTCCCCATTTAAGAAAATTGGCCAAATAAACACTAAGGTACTATATTTTGTGCTCTAATATTATACCAAACTCAAGTATTAGACCTATCCCTTGGGTGGTCTTATTCCAAAACTATCTTTAAGAGCCTCTAAAACTGTAAAATTTAATAAACCTTGGTTTATCCATATTTACATCTTCTTACCCTATCTCTACTTTTTTATCATTCTTCACAGTATTTTTTGCCAAACCACCTTTTCTCCCTGTCCTAGGACTGAATCCAGGGGCTTCACACTGAGATACATCTGCATCCCTTTTATTACTACCACTATTATTATTATTATTACTTTGAAAGAGCATTTCACCAAATCACTAAGTTGCCCAAGCTGAGCTCCAACATGATCCTCCTGTCTCAGCCTCCTGGAGTACTGGGATTACAGGCATGCAACATCATGCCTTGCAGCCAAACAACTCTTTTATTGGCTAGAATGAGGTCTCAGGTAGTAGTTTTCCTAGTTATTTGTCCAATTCACAAAGATATAACCCAATAAAGAACTTAAACACTTACTTACTTGTTGACAGCAGAGAAGTCTCTCACCACCATAGTAACTTGCCTCTGTATCATGGAATTTATAAATCCAGAGACTGCTCATTTCAACAAACCAACTCCAGATCCTTTCTATACCAGTCCCAATTCACCAGTGTTGCCAGTCCTGGACAATCCTGTACTTTAAGACTCACTGCTGGTTCTATTACAATCTATTATAATTAAAGAGCAGTATGATGGCTCATTCGAAATAAGCAATGTTGGTAGGTTAGCCACAACCACAAGAAGTATCAGTACAGTAAAGGTAAAAAGAGGTTGACTTTTGACCCTTTCCATATATCCTGGAAATACAAACTATATAATCCCATAAATACTTTAAAAACATTTAATTATACTCTTCAAATGGGTAAATTATCTTAATAAAAAGTTGTCTAAAATATTTTTACTTCATTCTAATGGAGATTATACTATGTTTTAAATACTTTTTTTAAATATTGCTAAACTACGTATCAAAAACACCTAATAAAGAGTCAAACAGAAGTCTGAACAGCATTAAGCCAGCTATTAGAATGGTAAACACAAACCACTTAAGAGCCAGAGATGACTGAAAATTAAAGTCCCTCATTCATTAGATAACTCACCAAACAGAGAGAAATAAAAAGTAATGGATTGAACATGACCTCAAATTGATTTCTTCAGCAAAGACTAAAGTAATCTTGACACACTCGGCTGTGCTTCTAAAACAAAAACATGAATGAAGTCCTCAAGCATGAGCACTTACTCATCATACTCGATATGATAAATAACGTCTTCATCAGCAGCAACACAGTCTGAATTAGACGTAGAGGGGGCACTGTCCAATTTATGTGTGTTCTCTTTGGAATTATGATTTACATTTCCATTAGTCCTTTTATAAGAACTGCCATTCTTCAATGGAGTTTTGCCACGTGAATGTCCATCAGAAGCTCTAGTAACACTATGTATATGTGCTTCAAACCAAGCACCAAGGCCGACATCTCTGGCATCCACCAATTCATTTACCTAAAAAAAGTTTAAAATCAGTTAATGAAGCTTAATTTCACCTATTGCTTCAAAAATCTTAATATAACTCATGCTATTTAAGAGTTATCATGGTAAACAATATTGTTAGCTATTCATAAAGTCATTAAAGAGATTAGATCAAAATTATTCTGACTTGTGCTATCATAAACCTGATTTTTACTAACGTGAAAGTTAATTTTCCTCCCAATTTCATTCTATGAAATAAATTTAATTACTCCATACCCAGGTCTATGCTACATTTTTGAAAATATTTTTGTGTTTCCAAGAGTCACCCTTACAAGTCTCTAATGTCACTGATGAAAAGGCCTGTTTAAATTATGATTGAGTTAACTTATTTCATTAATTTCTTCATAATCCTAAAGACAATTTTCACAGTTAAACAGTAAAGTATTAAACAGAAAATAAAACTTGAAACTGAGATTATGCATAAGAAAGATAATGAGGATGGGGATGTAGCTCTCAGTACAAAAGGCCCTGGGTTCAATTCCCAGTACCAAAAAACAAAACAAAAAAACCCCAAAGCTAACAACAAAAATCCAAGCCAAAACACAAAACAGACAAAAGAGATATATAGTCAAGGCCAATGAATGATCCAGAACTAAACTATGTAATCTGACAAAAAGGAAAGCGGTATATTAAAACACAAGTATACTAGAGAATTGAGAGTTAAGAAATGGAAGCAAGTAGGCTAGGATTATATATATATCATTGGTACATCACTTGTTTGGCATTCCCAAAAACCAAGGTTTATATTTTTTAACACCAAAAAAAAAAAAAAAAAAGGGAAAGAAGACAGAAGAAAAAAAAAATGAAAGGTTAAAAAAAACCCTCCCCTAAAATATTGCAGAACATCGGTTTTAAAGTTTTAAGTCCTTTCAGTACACTAAAACAAAGAAATCTCTTCAACCACCTTTTCTCTTTTCTTGTGTGTGTACAAGGTGTACTTACTAGTGCCACCTGTACTGCCACAAGTACAGGTGGCAGGGAGCTAGGGCCTAAACTCAAGGCCTTTGTGTGCTCAGTTTCACCTCTAGTCCCTTTTAATTTTTAGTATTATTCCTGGTTCTTTTCAATAGTTCCTAAGGTAGGCTTGAACTTGTAATCTTCCTGGCTGGGTAACCCAGAGTGCTGAGATTACAGGTGTGTACCACTATACCCCACTTTTTTTTTGCTTGGTGTGGTGGTGGTCGTGGTGGTGGGGGACGACCTACTAAGCTCAATCCCTGGCCCCTTTTTTTCCAAAATCCTTTTAAAAGAAAAACAAGTCATCAGCACATAATCATCATCGCATCAAGCCAGCTCTTCTCTGAATGTAGTCCACAGAAGGAGTGTAATATAATTCTGACAAATGGCACAGTATGGAGAGGAGAGTACATACTAAAAACTAAATACCAGATATTTAGTTAATTACCCAATTAAATGCCAGCTATTATCCAAAATTCCTTAGGTTTGTCTGACCTGGACAAGCTTAATAATTCCTATTTTATAAGATAAAGAAACAAAAGACTGAGAAGTTAACTTGCTCTGGGTGACAGGATTTGAAAACATGTTGACCTTGAAATTAATGTTTTTGATATATCAAGAAGCTTGGTACAGTGACAAAACAGGTAAATGGGTACTTCAAAGGTCAACAGGTACTCAAAGGTAAGTGATGAACTTGGCAATAAGGTATAAAAAATAAAAAGTTTCCAAATCTCCAAAGTGACAGAGAAGGTAGACAGAGTACAGATAAGCCAGAATATTAACTTTCACTATGAGAAGTACATTTGACTGAAGGCAATATATGTAATGAACATGTACTAATGAAATAGCTTGAAAGACATCCTAAACACAAGTATGAAGAGGTTAGGAGAAAAGAAAAGGATCCATGGGCTAACTAGACTAGGTATGACAAAGAATCAGAGATGGAACATTTTACAAATTGCAAAAATTAATTCATGTATTAAATGGACATAAGCACATTTCTTCCACACCACTCACTGACAAATTTAGAGACATTTAACAACTCTTTTATTGGCTAGAATGAGGTTCCAGGTAGGAAACACAGTTAAAGCAAATAATCAATGTTATGATAACATGAAAAAATAAACTGAGGTCGTTATTCTTTCACAGAAAATCAAAATGTAAAGTTTCATATAGCACAACCACAAGTATTGTTGTAGCAGGGAATGCAGCATATAGTTGATAACAGCAAAAACATGCTAAGCAATATAAACCTTACTATGGAACAGTAGAAAGAAATGAAATACTGAATTTGCCTATCAAATACAAAACTAGCAGGAAGATCTAGTACCTAGATACCTCAATATATGGCAATTACAATTAAGCGAAACCAAAATCAACCTAAAAATACTGTCAATGCTTAAATATCACACAGAGAAAACTTACTAACTCATAAAGGAGTGGAGTAAATCCACAATGATAACTGGAAACAAGCAGTACAAGTTTTATTATCCTATTAACTACAGTGAATTATTCACAATAATGCATAAGAGTTTTTACATACTATATGGACACACTAAGTATGGCCAAATTTAAATGGGTAAAACTGCACATAACAGACCAAAACTCTTTTATATAGCCTGGGTTTTGATGGCAGTTCAGAAAAAAAAAAATTTAAACCCATGTAATTCATATGAAAACAGTATATTACCATAGTAACTTAAGTCATCTAGCAAAAATTAAGAACTGAAGTAGCCAGGTAACAGCAGCAAAAATGAACAGACAAGCATGACAAAAGAAGTAAACAATGTATATATAGGAGTGTCTCGACTGCATCCAGAATTTTTGCTTAAGGAGGTAAAGACAATATTGAGAGGGTAATGTCACTGAAAAAAGAACTGCCCAACAATTCCAAAGAAGGGCACGCAAGGCCACATAGGGAAGTATTAGGTTTGTCAGGAGGCCAAAGAAACCACAGAAAGTATGGTCAAGAACCTTTACTATGTTTCCCATGGAAAAGGCAGGACAGGTTGCAGAAAAAAGGTCAAGATTAGGTAATTCGAATAATACTGGTGGGCTATGGGCTATACAGGTGCATTTTGGTCTAGATCTGGGGTGTCCCCGAAGCTCTTATGTATGTGGAAAGTGACTGTATCATAACGGTTCTGTATTTGTCATTGGATTCATCCACTAGTGAGTTCTACCACTGAGCACACCATTGCCAGGTGGGACCTGGCTGGAAGCAGCAGCAGCCTGGAAGGGTACAGCTCCCTCCCAGGATCCTCCCATCTCTCTCTGCTTCCTATGAGCCATGCTATTTCTGCTTGGAGTAGGCAGACCATGGACTGAAAACAGGAACCAAAATAAACTCCTTTAAGTTGTAGGTGCTGGGTATTGCGTCTCAGCTATTAAAAATGATTAAGATAGGGTAGTCTCTAGTCTGGTACCAGGTCCTGGATGATCGGGCCAGAGGAATACTGTCTTGGTATATAAAAGTTTGACAAGGGAGGTGGATGGACCACAACTCAGAACTGATTGCTCTGCACATGTAAGACAGGTTCACTTGACAAGTTGTTGACTATCTCTAGAAATGAGAAAGCTCTTTTAATCCCTAGCACCAAACAAAAGCAAAAAAACCAGGAATTACCTAGCCCTAAGAAAGACAATCTCTTCCCGGCCACCAAGGTCCCTGAAAGATGTCAAAGCATCATAAAATATACAACATTTTAAAATACATGGAGAGGTTGGTTCAGAGCTGAAGAGTCAAGAGGGGAAAGCCAATCACATGAATCTACACTTAACACTTTCACTACAGGGCTGAAATTCATACGGCTCGCTGCCATGTGGCTCTGAGCCACCCCCGTACAGGCTTGACTGTCCCATCAGGCAGCATGGGACAATCATGCATGTACCATGAGTGGTTCAAGCCAGTGGGAATGTGTTAAGAGGTGAATTTATTCATATCAACCTACTATTCCCCTTCTATGTATCTTCCCAACAATATGAGACATCATATCATAGTGATACATGCATACCCATGTTCACAGCAGCACAATTTATAACACGTAACTCTTAAATGTGGCCTATATGTCCACCAACAGAGAATGGATAAAGAAAATGTATTTATATGCAATGGAGTACAATCTGCCATAAAAATGATAAACTTGAATTATGTGTAGGAAAATGGATGCATTTTGAGACTGTAAAGTTACATGAAATAAATGATACACAACCTTAAACATCATGGTTTCTTGAGAAACCCAAAATATAAATAAAGTGTAAAATACAAGATAATAGGAAGTAGGGAGATAAGATCTTTTTCAAATGGGAAGGGAATTAAGAGATGGAGGGAAGGGAGAAAGGGGTGAGGAAGCAGATAAAAAAAAAAGATGTGTCAGGTACCTGTACCAACTCCCCATAAGGATTGTAATCATTATGTACTGCAAACATACTAAAAAGAAACCTTAAAAAAAGACCAGATATAGCCACACAGATGAAAAGTCTTCCAAATAGGTGATATTTAAGAAAAGTAAAAACAAAAGAATGAAGGAAAAAACAAGCATGGGACACAAGAAGGAAGGATGAAAAAACAAAACAATAATATCAAACACCAAATACTGGAGGGTTTACTCTATGTCAAGTATATTTCTAAACATTTGATTAGTAAAAAAAATTCCATCTCTGTAGACAAACCTGGGTTCAAGTCCTTGACGAAATATTGCTCAAAGTTATCACACATAGTAAAAGAAGATACTAAAAGCCAACTGTGGGCCAGGGATTTAGCTCAGTGGCACTGCACCTGCCTCACAAACACAAGGTCCTGAGTTCAATACCTGGTACCAAATAAAATAAAATAAAATAAACCCAACTGTGGTGGTACATGCCTCTAATTCCAGGTCTCAAAAGGCTCAGGCATGCTCACGAGTTGAAGACCAGCCTGGACTACAAGCTCAAGGCCAGCACAGACTACACAGTGAGACTATCTCAAAACAAAAAGAAAAAATGATACTGAATAATCAATAACTTCATAGTAATAT